AGACGATTGACGCTTCCACATACGTGACCCACCTGCGGAAATTGAAAGATCACGTCGACCGTACGTGGAAGGAATGCGGAAATCTACTTCCACTATGACAACGCCCGACCTCACACTGCAAAGGTGACCCAGGCCGAGCTGGAGAAGTACGGATGGCTGTCGCCCACCCTCCCTACAGCCCTGAACTCGCTCCTTCTGACTACTGGCTGTTCAGCCACCTGCAGCGCTATCTGGACGGAAAAAGTTCGAAACAAAGGATCCGGTCTGAAAGGCGCCCGACGACTTCTTCAAGTCCCAGCCTCCGTCGTTCTGGAAGGATGGAATCGACAAGCTGCCTGAACGTGGTGTCGAGTAGTGAATGGTGATGGTGCATACCTCTAATCTCCAGGCTGGTTCGTTTTTGAGATATTTACAAAAAAGTCGTGTATAAGAATTATGCAACAACCTAATATAAAGGTCCCCAATACGAGTCGCATCTTTCTCTTGTGTGACTTCTAAGCTGTTTTAATGAAATCTGCTTTCGCATAAATCATTTAGGCTGACCGTGCTCCAAAAGAGATCAGTAATTAGTCAGAATTAGCAGTGGTCAGGTGCGTGACAACCATAAGAGTTGATTAACTCCAAGCACTTTTTCCTTCGTACCCCATGAAAGACAGTCTATGGGCTGATGTCTGGTTCATTGGAGCTCTCGAACAAGGTTTTTGAGCATTTGGAGTTTTCCATCTTTGAAGTTTTCTCAGGATTGCCCTTCTGGCAATATTTGTCCAGCAAGCTCTGAAATCCAAAGCATTTCATCTCAGCATTTGCAGCGCTGTAGTCTATAGTCCAGGTTAGCTATGCGCTAGGCGTCCCCAAAAGCAAAAATCTCCACTGACTTTTGAAGCTATCAATGGTAATACGTTCCATGGTATGTTGACTTGGAAAATCACTGCCTGTTCTGTCGTATGTCATGTGATATCAGCTTGTTTTACAAAAACCCTCGTAGTGTATATTTCTGTGGAGAAAAAACCAAGCCGTAAAAAGAGGGAGGGGGGGGGTCGTACCGATCTCTTAAAAAAAGGGGAAATCCCCAACCAGTGATGTGCCCTGGTTGCAAAGTCTGAACGCTGCCTAGGGCGCATGCATATCTACGGAGTTTAAATTCCCAGAATGACTGCTTTGCTTACCAGGAAAGGTCAACAGGTCAGCCCGGCCATTTTCAATGAGGTGCGCACCGTTGTACGCGTTTTGGGACGGTGAACTCGAATCTACCTTCAGAATTTGCGGAACGACTCTCTAAACAGAGTATTGGAGGGTTTCATCCCCGCGTGGTTTTTTCACATGCTATCGCGAGGAAGCGTGGAAGCGTCTTTATATACAAGAAAGGAGTCGAATTGAAGCGTGGCAGTAGAGCGCAACGAATATGAGCGGGTTCACTAGGCGAGACGTCGTAGGATCAGTCCTCGGCAGGGTGCCCTCTTTTGCATTCGTCCAAGAACATGGACGACAAAGCTTCTAACATCTCTGCTCGCCTGCAATAACCTGTAAGGAAACTTCGACCAGTTTTTTTTCGAAAGTGTAGGCCCATTTTGGCCTGAACGAGTGCTCGAGCTTGTCCTCCCCCCGTAGCACATGTCACAAGGGTTTTTGCAACGAAATACCATCATATTCATGTTCAGCGGGGTTAAATTACCCCTTGAGACAAGTTTCTAGCCGAATCTGATATTCCGACCTAACTAGGAAAATGTGGGCTATTCCATGGGTAAAGCAGCAGTTTGGAGCTCACCTACCATCAATGACTGGTCTCGGATTGGAATTTCCTCCCGATAGTCAAGAAAATGATGCAGACGGTACAAATAAGTAAGCCAGATACTGTTTTTTGCGAAAAGACATGACTGAAGAGCTATTTCAGTTCGACGACCAATCATCACCAGTATGCTAGTTGCAGTATCGCTGTTGGCTATCAGTCAGCCATGGCTACCCATACCTCGGTTTTTTTCGAATTTGAGTCAGAACCTCGGATTTCGCTAGGGTGACGTCTCTGAGGGTTACTTGACTCCCTGAACACGAATATGACAGCTATTCTGCGCGAGGAGCGCTGTGAGTCGCGCTACAGGTGCCAACGCTTCGGCACCAGCGCGCCTAGAAGAAGAAAAACAGTAAAGAAAAACCTCCATAACTCCGCTCAGACAATCGTTCCGCAAATCTCGAAGATAGTTTTGTGTTCACCGTTTTAAGATGAGTACAATGATGTGCATCCCATTGCATATGGCCGGGCTGACCTTTGACCTTTCCTGGTTAGATTTATCTAACGCCGTCCTGAAAGACAGTGTTCGTTGACCATACTCTTCCAAAGTTGAAGTTACTTCTGCTGTTCCAGTACCTCAATCAAACAAAAAGCTGGTGTCGAGAGCGCCCACTTTCATCGCACTGGCGTACAGCTTTAATGCCCTAAAATACCACAAAACGAATAATCAAACACCTACGCACAGCAACTCGAACAGCATGAGATTTCCTACCTAAAAAAATGTGGGATGCGTCGACAAAACATTTCCCTTTACATGAATTTTCATGTTAGAAAAAAAGCGCCATCACTTAGGCAGAGTTATCAATTCCCTCATTAACGACAATATCTTTTAGAGATTCTGAGACACAGAAAGGCAGAAATCCATATGCTGTTAAGAGAACTGTTAAAATACATCTCTCGATGAACAACAGCAATTTACGATCAAGTAAGGACAAACTTTCACCCAAAAAATTAAGTACTATACAAGAAATTAAATTCCATACACAGAATAAGGAATGTCCATACGGCATAAATTTGACTAACCCCGTAGAATGGTTCTAAGCAAGTTTTATGCGGAAAGATATTTATATTTGTTCGTAAATGCGAAATTAACGGAGTACAGTAGCTCTCAACTGAATGACTAAGAATCATTCATGAACGACTCAGCTATATCGGCCAGCGTATTCACTCGTTCCGTGGCATTCTTCAATGATTCTCGAGCAGCCTGCAGCAAATTGAGACTAAGATAAGAAAAATAGGAAAATAAGTGAACACCAACTGTTTTCGTGGTAGTTCAGACAAACCGGATGTTGTGTTAGGGAAGGAGCGCGCATGTAGGTCTGGCGCGTGTTCGGTCTCTAGATTACGGTAGTAGTCGATAGGTAGGCGCAAGAAACGGCTCGAAACACTTATTTTCGGCGGGTATCGGGCCTATAAAAAGGTTTGATTTCTGTACTGTTTAGGTTGTTTTTTTCTACTCTTCTACGACGACAACGCTGTGGAGCCCCGACGTCCCTGTGCTGTATCCCAACTGATTTCTGATTCTTCTCCCGTGGGACGACGACGACCAGACGTTACGCGGACGACACCACGACGCCCCTGTTTGGATATCAACGTCACGACTTCGGAACTTCGCCTCCGCACCCAGCGTGGACTCCAACCTCCGGCCCTCCCCACTCCCGCCCCTTTGAGTTGTTTCATATTTCTTTATTGCTATTGATCTGCCATCTTATCGATCGGATTTTTCTTGGTGCTCACGCTTGTTTGATTTTATTGTTAATAAATTTGTGTTAACCCTATTCGCGCTTACCTAAGAGTGGTTCCAAACCATCCTATCTACACCACCAAACCTAACTTGGGGGCCAAGCCACCACTAATGTACTGTTTAGGTTGTTTTTTTCTACTCTTCTACGACGACAACGCTGTGGAGCCCCGACGTCCCTGTGCTGTATCCCAACTGATTTCTGATTCTTCTCCCGTGGGACGACGACGACCAGACGTTACGCGGACGACACCACGACGCCCCTGTTTGGATATCAACGTCACGACTTCGGAACTTCGCCTCCGCACCCAGCGTGGACTCCAACCTCCGGCCCTCCCCACTCCCGCCCCTTTGAGTTGTTTCATATTTCTTTATTGCTATTGATCTGCCATCTTATCGATCGGATTTTTCTTGGTGCTCACGCTTGTTTGATTTTATTGTTAATAAATTTGTGTTAACCCTATTCGCGCTTACCTAAGAGTGGTTCCAAACCATCCTATCTACACCACCAAACCTAACTTGGGGGCCAAGCCACCACTAGAAGGTATTCTCGAGTAGGGTTCTCCAAATTTTTTTTTCGCGTTCCTTCGTCGTTTTGGTTGTGGTTTGGCAATCCCTTGGCGAAAGCCTCGCGTGGTTGCCGAACTGACACATTGCTAGGGAGTTTGTGGGCAGATTTTAGCCACAACTCCTCGAGACAGTGTGCTGTTCGGTTTTCTCTGACGAGGGTGCTTGCAATCCCGCCTGGAGGATAACCTCTGCCCAAAATTTTTTTGAGGTAGGGGACCTTGCAACCATCGATTTTTGTGGACGTCAAGAGAACACCGAACCCTACGCCAGGGTCGGACCGCCTCGCTATGGCTGAGTCTGGAGATACGACCACGCAGGACAGTGAGATGACTGTTGCAGAACAAATGCCTCGTGGATCAGACGCAGACGAGATGATGGCTGTGGGGAGCCAGAACGAGCTGGAACTCGAGGAGCTCAAGATCTGTGACCGCGTTTCAAAAAGTGTGAAGGAAATAGAGATCCTGCTAGTGGCAGAGGTTGGTAAGCATTGGCGGTCGGTGGATCCCAAAAGGGTGTCTTTTGAGGAAGTGGCCGTTAGGGCAACCCAGCACACGATGGGATTGGTGTTGGATTTGAAGGAGAAGTGTGTAGCAAAGAGGGATGAGCGAGAGGGCTACAAAGGGGTGGCCACCACCCCTTTGTAGCCCTCTCGCTCATCCTGGGGTGCTACAGTCAGGAGCAGTTTGCGAGGAAGGTCGAGGACTTAGTGAATAGTTCATTAGTGATATCAGAAGTGAGAGAGGCCACGGGCTGGAAGAAACATGAAATAGTAGGCAACTGCATCACTTTGAAGGACGAAATTGCCCAACTACAGGCCAAGCTGGAGGCGCGACAGCGCGAGATCGAGGAGCTGCGATTGCAAGCGAGGCGCGCTGAAATGGTAGGAAGTTGACCGCAGTGAATATGGAGGACACCATACCAGGTAAGGCTTCTGTAGCAAAGCGGAAATACGCAGATGTGGCGCAAGATTATCGCACCACATTGTTCGTTGACCGTGATTCGTTTCAGAGTGGGCTCGATGAGCGGCTCAGAGCGAAAGCCTCGTCATCCGGAATGGGCACGAAGCTTTGTGGGAAGACGCCGCTGAGCAGAGGCCAGTCAAGATTTTCTCATGGTGAAAGTGACCTTAGTGAAGATGAAAATAGAAATGATTTGATAAATAGTGGTGGAGATAGGAGATTTGTAGAGAAAGATGATAACATGAGTGATATCTTAAGTATATCGCGTTACCTGAGGTGCGTGTTTTACCGGTTGTGATATGGATTACTCATGGGAGTCGTTTCAAGTAGTCTTTATGCTCAAATATCCAAGAGATTGCTGGTCAGATAGAAAGCTTAAGACATTGTTGAAGACTAAGCTATCTGGCAAGGCAAAGGCCAATATGAGGCATTACCCAGGGAGCTGAGACGGGGCAACGTTGGGCAGGTAATGCGGGGCGATGTCTGCGGCGTATCGAGGGGAAGCCCATACGAAGAGGATAGTAGTCTCAGGCAAACTCAGGCGGCTTAAAAAGCAGGAGTCTCAGTCAGTTGCGGAACTTTGCGTGGAATTAGAGAGGCTATCGGCAATTGCGTACGCGGAGTTGGATGATCTCGCGTTAGCAACAACGAGGGCACAACAGTTGTGTGAACAGTTAGTTCATTGGCCGGAGTCGTATCACTTACTGGTACCCATGGAGGAGACAGAAGTGGACGCATACGCAAAGCTCAAGGATACGGCTATGAGAACTGAGGGAAGAAAACTGTTCCTTAGGAATACAAAGGAGTTAGGCGAGTCAAGTGGATATGAAATGCGACGAGGCCAACAAGTTTGTCAGAGCCTGAGAGGGAGGTTTTGATGAGGCCCAGCGGAGCTTCAGAGGCCAAAACGGTCAACGAGCATCCAAGAAGAGACGTTGAAGAGGGTCAGCAGGATAATGAGAGAGAAGCACAGATGTGATGTTACAGATGTCAAGGCATAGGACACTTCGCAAGAAACTGCAAAGAGGGCGTGTTCTCAGAAGAGCGGGTACCTCGCAGACGCGAGGGAAAGGATGTAGTGATAACCGAGGAGGGTACAATGCATCTAACGTGCCCCGCACCGGCTTCTTTAGTGAAGAAGCATATGACAAAGATAGAGATAGGAACCGAAGCATGGAGGACATTGCCTTATACCAGCTCGGAAATATCAATCAAGCCCATTACGGTTTTCAACCATGTCAGGGGAAGCGGGCAAGTGCGTAAGGAGTGGCCCGTCGATAGGACTAAAAACGTTTTTGACCACCAGGTAACCGGATGAAGTTCGAGACAGTTGTGGAAGTTGCTGTGAAGTGAAATGGAGTCAAGGAAAGCATCATTTTCATGCATGTTTCGAAGCAGAAAGGGCAGACTCTGATTATAGGTACCAATGCACTCCCGTACGCTCTGGTCTACCAAGGGGAGAAAAGCGAAACAAAAACCCCCGTAGCCTTGGGTAGTGGAGCAGATGGCAATGACTTTGGAAAAGCGTTGTCAGGGATAGACAGAATTTGCTATAAGTTCTGTGGACCAGGAGAGCAAAGCTGTGGTCAGTAAGAGAGCATATATAGCCCCAGGTGAGTTCAAGTGGGTTTCCATTAAGGGCGCTGCGCGACCTGGTGAAACACATTTTCATTCGCGGTTTGCGGGCATGAGGTCCGTTATATGCTGCATGAATGACAGCGGTGAGTCGCTCATACAGGTGTGCAATTATGCGCAGGAGCCACTAGTGTTGAGAGTAGGCCAGAGGTAGGCCATTATGAAAAAGATGACGTAGAATACATCCTAGTGAAGAGCGAGGAGGCAGCGACGGTATTGGGCAGGCCGACATTGCAAGAGTCAGAACGGAAGCGGTTACTGAGCAACTCCTAAAGGCGAACAGGGAAGGCCACGATTAGGATTAACCGGAGCTGTAGGGGCCTTGTGGCGGAATATGACAGGATGTTTGCTGTCGAAGACAGGGAGTTGACCCAAACAAATCTAGTGCTAATGAGGTGGACACAGGGAGCACACCTCCAATTCGTCAGAACTGGGCCCGTACCGTTAGGCGCACGGAAAGAGTTCAAAGGAATGATCAAGGTACTCTTAGATCGCGGTATAATCGAGGCTTCGCAGTCGGAATGGGCGTCGTCGGTAGTACTGGTCAGAAAGAAGGATGGATCGTTGCGGCTGTGCATCGACTATCGTGAGCTGAATAAGAGCGCGTTCAGACTTCGCGATCGCGCGATCGGATGAATCGCGCGATTGGATCGCGGCGACTATCTGAGGGTGAAATTACTGCGGGAGGCGGTCATGTTCGTTCATGTTCAACTCAACTCAACAAACAACAACAACAAAGTTCTGGGAGGGAGCGTACTAATATCACCATTTCTCACATCACTTATGCTGTATCCTGCCTCCAATAGGCAGTTCCAAAAACAATATAAAAGTAAGTTCGACTTTTTTGATGTCTTTTATTCCGTGTTCATATTCGCAATACTGACGTTTGCAGAAACCGTCGAAAGGAAAAGTTGTGTATAGACCTGGAGGATGGCAGAACAAACAAAGCAAACACAATGTGACAAAAGTGAAGTGAATATCTGAAGGAATGGCAAAATCGGGGAAGGGAGAGAAACAACGTCCGCTGTTAAAAGTTCTTGCGTGTCTTACTTTTTGGAACAAGATGTTCAACACTCCGCCTTGAACGTACTCAAATGCAAAATTCAGTATAATAATTAGCACATTGTACATTTAGTAGCTATTTTACATAGGATAATAAAAATCAAAGATATTTCGAAACGTTCTTCAAAATTAGGAGGGCGTTATGTACACAAAGGAAGAAAGAAGGAAGAAGAGAGAGAGAGAGCAGGATCAATAAACATATACGCACATAACCCCCTCCCGCAGTAATTTCACCCTTCAGTAGCGCGATTCGATCGCGCGATCGCGAAGTCTGAACGCGCTCCAAGAATAAGAAACAGGAGGCGTAACGGCGGACCGCATTTGTAACGATGTCGTGCGCAAGAAGTATGGTGTAGCCCCCATAGCAGAGAATTGCGCGAAACGCGCCTTCGATGGTACGGGCACGTACTTCGCGCGAAGGCTGACACCGTCCGTAAAACTGCTCTCGAACTCGAGGTACCAGGAAAGCGGCCAAAGGGGCGTCCCAAACAGCGCTGGCTCGACACACTGCATACCGACTTAAAATTAGCCGGCATTCACCCCGATCAGGCATTCAATCGGGAAAAATGGCGTAGTTATATCAAAAGAGCGGACCTCGCCATCAAGCGGGACAAAGTTGACGAAGAAGAAGAAGAACTGAAAGTTGCAAAAAAGTTTTATATTAAGATTTTTGGATCAATCCTTCGTCCAAGCTTCAGCTAATTAGTGGATTCCAGGTGTAACCGGTCGACGCCACATCAGGGGGGCAAGGTCACTCACTACCCCGTAGCAACTTGGGGGCCGAACCAACTTGGACAGGAGGTGCCAAGTTTGAACTTTCAGAAGACACAGTGGAAGGCAGCAAAAAGGAAGTCAAAGGGCCAGATTTGTTGGCTCCTCTTTAGAACAGGGTCGAACCAACTCGGAAAGAAGGGCAAGGATTGGGGCTTCTGAGCTGTATCCCGTGCAGACACGGTGAAAGGCAGTGAAAAGGAAGTCGACCAGCCGGATTACTTGGCTCTCCTTGGGAATGAGGTCGAATCAACCTGGATAGGAGGTACCGAGATTGAGCTCCCTAGCTGTATCCCGTGACCACAAGTGAGGGACAGTGAAAAGGGAGTCAGGAGCTGGACTAGTTGGCCCAGGTCAACTACTGATCAGCTGTTCACAACTACTGGCAACAGTTCAAAAGAGGTACTGGCTCAGAAAGGAGGGACGTTACTTGAACGTTGCCTGACGGTGTATGCAAGAAGCGAGGAGCATTTATTTTTGTTGAGCTCTTGTCTATTGTCGCGTACTCACTAATTTGGTGATTGGTTCGCGCCGTGATAAGTACTGTAAGCTCTGAGCAGTACGGTAAATAAACTATATCTGCTTTCAGACGTGATGAGTATGATTTCTTCAATAAGTTCGGAGCAGCTGTTACGCACGCCGTCTCGCAGTGGAGATCCCCAGGATCAAATGGATCTGGACGAGCGCAGAACGGAGGCAGAGGTGAGCTTTGATAAGGAGTTCGACAAATTCTCTAACAAGATAATGTCGCAGATAGCTACTATAGCTGTTAAGTGCGATAGTGATTTAGCAAAGAAGATGCGTACGGATGACCCTAAACGGGATTCAGTGGTGGCAGCCGTAAATGAACAAAGCGCGTTAGTAAAAAGAGATAGTGCGCACCATTCTGAAAGAAATTTCAGTATGTTTCTTTGCGATTTCTGTTGTGTGTTTCTTTCAGAATGCGCGATTTCTGTGGCCCAAGGATTGCTGAAGGGATAATTAATCTTTTGAGAACGTAAATATCTCTGAGGCCGAACAATTGGAGCAGTTATTTAGCGATTTCGACGACATGAAATCGATAGTAAAGCATGTATCTCAAAAGTAGGCTGTGCCACAAACCAGATAGTGGATACAGTGGAAGATACCAAGATACTCTCCATACTGTAAGTAACTTACATGAAACCAACTCACAATTATTTTGTAAAATACAACAAAAAGAATTGCAGGTGGAGAGCCTACCCAAAAAAAGTTGAAGAGTTGGGCGATAATTGGTTGAGGGCGGCAAGCAGCCAAGGCGAGAACGACGGACCTGTGGGGGCCAACAACGGTAACGAATCAAGTAGTTGTCGCAACATACAACGAATGCCCAATCTCGCATTTCAGGAATCTCAGCCATCGACCGGATGCGATCGACCCAAGGATCCTCAAAAACTATGTCGAACGAAGACTCAAGGAACGAAGCCAGAATACGACTTTCATTGGACACAGGCGAGGACCGAATTTCTGGATTTTCTATGAGTGATTATACAAGAACGATAGCATTGCCCGACGTTCAACCTTTTGGAGGTAGACCTCATGAGTGTTTCAAAAGGTTTCTATCCTCGCTCAATATTAAGCATCCAAGTGATAGGTGGAAAGATTCAAGCCGTTTACAGTTCTTCCAAAGTTTCCTACGTAAAAACGCGCTTACCATATTTGAAACCGTGCCGGTAAAGGTAAAGGTAAAGGCGTGAGGGGGCCTTTTATGATGTAGTTGAGGCAATGAAAAAGCGCACGCGCGTCGATGGGAACATTGAAAGGGTTAAGGCTCTGGCTGATTTGAGGAAGTTGACCCTAAGAGATGATCAGTTAGCTGCGGAATTTTGTTTGCTATTGGAAGGGTTAACAAATAGAGCATACCCAGATGTGCCGCAAGAAGTGACTGCGCTACAGAAAGCGGAAATTTTGAGCAGGCAGCTTGCGAACTGGGGTGGTAGCTATTGCTTTATGGAAGCTTTAGAAACCAGTGCAGCTGGAGAAGTTTATGGAAAGGTGAAAGAGACCGCATTGTGGATGGAGAAGAGCATCAGAGCCGCAGCAAAATGCAGAAATGCTCTTAGGACGAAGCCTACACAGCGATTCAAGTCAAACTGGGAGCGGAGTAAAGACGAACCAAGATCCTTCTTAGGCCTCAACAAGTTTGAGTCGGAGACAAACGCGGAAAGAACGCAGGAAAGCAGGTCCAAGAAGCGGAACAAGCAACAAGAAGCGGAACAAGAAACAGCAGCAAAAGACTTGCGGCCGTGCTACAACTGTGCGAAACAAGGACATTTTGACTGTCGGCTGTCAGCTCGGCAGAATAAGACTCCTACACCCACAGAGCAAACGAGAAAGCCATCGGAATCTTTCGCGTCGCGCTTGAAAGGTGGATGTGCTCTGCAGATACGGGAACCGACGAGGTCTCAACTGACTATTTCGGTAAAAGGTCAGTAGTTGAAATTACAGTCTTTGGCATGTCGGCAGAGGCACTCGTGGATACGGGGCCGCAAGCGACCATATTCCCTTTGATGCTGCCTAAGAAGGCGATAGATGCAGGGATGAACCTTGACGATTACGTCGAGCGGATACCTTCTCCAAAAGTAAAAGTAAAGGACGCGTCGGGGAACTGCATGAAGTTTCTTGATACTATCAGAGTGTCAGTAATCCTTAACGGACAGGAGGAATCAATTCCTGTGTACGTTGGTAAGGGCTTCGATGAAGTAGTAATATTAGGAACCAACGCACTAGAACGCTTTATCATGAAGTTAGTTCAAGATGGAGAAGAAAAAGACATAGAGCATTCAAAGTAACTAGATTCAAATAGCGAAAAGGAGGACGTTGAAGTGGCAGAGATTAAACAGAGAATCTTTATTCTCCTGGGAGCGTCAAAGCTTCTGTCGGTAACGTGCGCTCATACATATCAGTCCGAAACGGCTGTCTTCTCGGCACAACATCCACTCTTGATAGACGGAGTTTGCCACCTCGAGGATCATGAAGCAATTTTAAATACCAGTGACCAACAACACTGATCAAGGCGTAGTGTTCAGAAAAGGGCAGGCGGTTGGAGAGTGGAATATGAGGGATGGGTGAAGCCCAAACATTCGAGCATAGCAGGGACATGTTGGACATAGATAGCCCAGGGCATGGAGTTCTCGGAAGGATCGTCTCCATAAACTATTGGATAATACTCCGGGAAAAATCCATGATCACAGATAACGCGAAGAAACTGGTGTCGAAATTCAACGATGTTTTCGCCGTAAGCGACTCGGAGTTGACTCAGACTGACCTGATAGTTCATAACATTGACACCGGAGAGCATAAGACCATAAAACAAAAGACTCGGCTAGTTCCAGTAGCAGTGCGCAAAGAGTTCAAAGGACTGGTAAAAGACCTGGTCAGTCGTGGAATAGTTGAGCAAAGTTCATCTGAATGGGCTTCGCCAGTAGTGCTTGTCAAGAAAAAAGACGGATCTCTCAGAATCTGCGTCGACTACAGAGAACTGAACAAGACCACCCGGCATGATTCGTACCCACTTCCAAAGATACACAGCACTACAGTGTCTAAGGTTTTTTCCACAATGGATTTAGCTTCTGGCTACTGGCAAATCCTTCACGGAAGAAGGAAAAAGGAAAAGTGCCTTTACGACAAGTGAGGGGCTATATCAATTTACCGTGCTGCCATTTGGGCTATCCACCAGTCCAGCAGTCTTCCAACGAATGATGCATATGGTTCTGGAAGGGCTGGGCTCGGAGAAAGAGGTGCTCGTATATATTGACGATATACTGGTCACCACGGATACACTGGAACGACATTATGCTGTTTTAGATGCGGTGCTGGGAGCGCTACGTAAGGCGAGTCTACGTCTGAAGCCCCAGAAGTGCGAGTTCTTCAGAGAGAGTGTGTCTTTTCTGGGCCATTTGATAGACAAGGATGGAGTAAGAACGGATCCTGATAAGGTAAAAAGGTTTTTTGAATACCCAGTACCTAAAAACGTATCAGAATTGAGACTGTCCTTGAAATGGCGTCACACTATAGAGGATTCAGGGATAGGGATTCTCCAAACTTGCTAAATGCCTATACGACTTGACTAGCCCCAAAAATGCGTGGAGGTGGACAAAGGACGAGTCAACCAGCTTCGAATCGTGCGTTGACTATCGCTCCCTCGACTACTGGCGCAACCAAATGTAAACGCAGCAGAAAATTAAACACGAGCATTTATCATCTATACAGATGCGTCCAAAGATGGAGTAGGGGCTGTACTATGTCAGGTGGGAGACGACTAGTTGCTCCGCCCTAAATTTTTTACGTCCAAAAGTCTTACAAAAGCGGAAAGGAATTATCATACAACGGATTTAGAGGCACTAGCCCATAGACAAAAAAATGAAAGTGGTTCGAACAGATCACCACCACTTATATGTCTGTTCAAACGGACAAACATTTCGGCAAGCGCTTTGCGATGGGCCCTGGAAGTCCAAAATTACCGGCTGAAGATAGAATATGTGGTCGGAAAAGCCAACGCAGTAGCGGATGCCCTATCCCGCAGCGCTGTAAGCTTACCAGAAGGCAGTGACTCTAGTAAAGATCAGAACGCAGATGTGGTTATATGCGAGGTGACAACGGAAGGTAGCGAATGGCTCAGAGAACTGAGAGAGTATGACGATTATAGGGAGATCCTCAACAATATTGACGTAGGTAATGATTACAAAGACGTGAAACTGCCCAGATGCTCCCGGAGATTTCGTGTGGCGACTCCATTATGGATGATGGAGAATTGAAGTTAGTCCTAGAAAAATCAACAGTAAAGGTGGTGCCTAAGTCAAAAAGAAGAAAGTTGTTCGACGAGGCATATGGAGGTCTGCTAGCAGGGCACCTCAATGCCCGCAAGTTTTGTTTATTTGTTTTGTATCGTAAGCTCAAAGAGATTGCCTTCTGGGAATGGTATGGAGGCCGACATCTCGAAGTAGTCGAGAGAATGTTCGAGTTGCTTCCTGTCGCGCGCTTACGAAATGCAGGTGCCACCATTGAAACCATTCACTACGGAAGCTCCGTATGAGTTGACTGGGATAGACTTGGCGAAGTATGGCCTGACAGATAGGGGGAACAAATATGATTTGGTAGTTATAGACCATTTTTCCAAGTTCGCTGGCGCCTATGCCGTACCAGATAAAACAGCGAAGAACTGCTCGAATGTTGTTTGGGCGGTGGATCTGTGAAGGCTGTAGATGGCCTAAGCGCATCCATTCTGACCAAGGTCCCAGTTCATCAATTCTATCTTGTCAGGTATATGCGAGATTCCGGGTATTGAGCAGTCAACGACAAAAGGCTATAATCCTAGGGGAAACGGGATGACAGAAAGAGTGATCGGCACGCTAAGAAGAATGCTTAGGAAAAAGACAATCATATCCGCTGACTGGGATCTACTCCTTCCTATGGCAGTTTTTGCGTACAACTGGCACACCATGATGCAAGGGGTGAAAGCCCGCTTGACCTTTTACATGCCATCGATCCCCTACCCGTCCAGTGTAATACCTCAAGACAAGTTGAACTTCAATCACGTTGAAGCTGATAGCTACAAGTATGAGTTACTGGCGGGGATTCGATTGGCGCAGGAGTGCGCTGTCCAACTAAACGAAAAGTACAAGCACAGAATGAAAGAGGCCTATGATAAGCGCTACAAAACAGATCCGAATAAATTTCCTAGAATAGGAGAACTAATTTTCCTGAAGTTGCCCCGCGAAAAAGCTAGTAAAATGTTTCCAAAATTGTTTGAACCTTGGGGAGGACCCTATCGTGTAATTGAGACCAGCGAAAATCCTGCGCTTCGACCTCTATCAGTACTGTGACCCTTTCTTTTTACTCTACGCTGCCGATTGATTTTCATTTTTTTGTTCTTTTATTTGCTCGCATTGTACAATTTCGTCCGGTAAACGAAAGCTGCATAAAAGTTTTATATTAATATTTTTGGCACGATCCTTCGTCCAAGCTCCAGCTAACTAGTGGATTCCCGGTGTAACCGGTCAACGCCACATCAGGGAGGAGCAAGGTCACTCACTACCCCGTAGCAACTAGTGCACTCACAAAAATCTCTGGGATTGAGCACACAGTTACGAAAGGATATAATTCGCGGTAGAATGCCGCTGCAGAACGAGCTATAGGGACTTTACAGAGAATACTTAAGGCGAAAATAGTTCCCTGAGCTATGGGATGTAATACAGGTTACAGGGGGGGGGTTGCAAAAAAGTCACTTCGACCGAGCCACCCAGCAAAGTGCCCAGACAGAAGACTTGGATTCGAGTACCAAGGCGGAAGATACCCAAGATGTTCGATGAGCAGGAGCTGGCTCTCGCCCATCGCCTTCATGTACACCAAAATATGAAGTCATCTCCAGTCGCAGCCTGACTGGAGAAGACCTCTGGAATGCATGTCACCTCCAAACAGCTGCGAAACTTCTAGTATGGAGTCACCCGTGGATAGCTACCAGGAGAGCAGTACTCTCGATCTGGATGACCTCCGACATCGAGCAGCTCCGACAACGTCGCCACGGTCTAGTACATCATCTTCACCACAGTTGTCAAAGTGCTGGTTAATGGTACGGACCGGACGTACCTAGAATGGAAAGACCAGTACTTTCTTCGTGGACCCCGGACTGAAGGTGAGCGGTTACATTGGGCAACTCGTGAAGGATAATCCTCCTCAGTTGTCGTCGCCCGTACCTTTGGAAACTTTGTACTGCTATAGCATTGGGTGCCACCACATGAAGTTCAATAGGGTGGTCTACGGTGGCGGAGAAATCGACTACCTCGCTGATCTCAGGCACACATCGCGGTCGCGTGCCATAATCTCTCGATGGCGCTGGTCCAGAAGGCGCGGAGGAGTGTCATGATAGTATTTAATATGCTCTTTGATATGGTGGTAAAAATGTCCAATCAGAGTTCAATAAAGTGTAACTTATAGCGCCTCCAAAGTCAATGAAGAAAAGTGGCTTTTGTTTGCCCCTCCGTACTTCCGAATGCGGTTTTCGCGTATAATGTAACGCCGCATACAGCGACATGTGAAAGCCCGCTCTTCCTGTTGCACGGGTTTGACACGGTGATTTCGCTGAATGGACTACCAGAGAGTAAGGTTCGATTAGGTCAGATCGATCTTGATCACTATAAAACAGAACTCATCCGTGGATTGTGAGTGATTCGCCAGGAAGTGTGTCAACAGACGAAGAAGTATAGAGAGATAATGGAAAAATATTACGATGATAAGAAAAAACGTGAGCGCGTCTTACTTGTGGCGGCGAGAGTTTTCAACGTGAGAGAAGCCGCGCCAAGTACCCAATTGTTCTGCGAATGGGATGGGTATAGAGTTATCGAAGTGAGGACTCATCACAAAAATAGGAGTAAATGAGGATCCCGTGAGGGTTCAGCTTGACCTTCTGATTAAATCTCCTGAAGAAATCCCGGATGAACCAATTAGAAGTAATACAAAACGGAAGAAAAGTCGAAAACCAAGAGTAGTAAAAGAAAAAGCGACGTGCAAAGCTATGACGTCATGTATTGATGCGTCTTTCAGACTCGAGGACGCGTACGATGTCAACGACAACATGCACTTCTTGCACATGCTGTTCAAGTGCGATGGACAGAACTTTCCTCAGATGGACGGTCGCAATGGATTCCCGCTGGCTGGCTGCCGCGTTGGCCAGAACACCTTCGTTCATGATCTCCTTCCAGTTGTCCCTCAGCCTGCCGCAGACGAGGAGTTGTAGTCACTGGATGCTGCCCGCGTATTGGCCGTATGGGGGGGGGGGTGCGGGGTCGAGTCGATTTCGGCAAAAGTACAGCGTATATGCGACAAGTCGTACCTAGCCATCACCCCCAAGTCGTTGGGCACAGCATATGCATTCTTTTGTAGTCGCTGTACCCACGTAGCCATTATGGCTAGCATAGTACCCGTTGGTGCGAAGTTCAGCCACGCGATGCTCAAAGGATGGCCATGGGACATCACAAGGATAGTGGAGTATGGCTGGAATATCAGTCGCAAGCTGGACTGGACAACCATCGCAGTGGAGGCGGGAAGACCAGCGAACATGAACGGCTTGTTCTTGTCATCCTGGAGGTGCTCAGAAGGCTTACTTTTTGCCTGAAGGGCCCGAGGACCACATTGTTCTACTGCCGCTCCAAATCAAAAGGGCAACAACGTTCTTTTCGCGGATGAAGTCGGTAACGCAATAGTGGTTTTACCACCAAAGGAGCCGGACGAGCCATATTTCTGGATACCCTTCGTGGGAGCAATGGATTCATAGATGCGCTGTGAGGCCCATGTGTGGATGGTCAACGGACCCCAGTTTGAGGAGGACGGCACGTGGTCGCGGATGAACTGTAAAGCGAGAACGCATGTTCTCGGATATCTAGACAATCATCCGGACTTCGCAGTACAATGACACGATCTGGTCCCCGCCGAAGCTGGTGAGTGAAAGTTTCCATGGCATGCCTCAGGGTAGAGGTAGTAAAGGACCCACGCAGGTGGTGGGCTATCGAGCAAGTGTTGGAGTTCTACGTTGACCTGTCCACCAGATCAACGCGCACGGGCTCGAGTTGGGCATGGGCTCGAGTTAGAGCCGATCAGGATGCCAAGGTCGATGAAATCGCCAGCAACTCCGGCGAAGCAAGGACGTGGCCCAGGATTGTCAGGAAAGCCGGCAATAATGGATGGCCGAATCTCGAAAAGGCACCGGAAACGGAAAGAGAAGCGGCACCAGAGAAGTCTGGAGCGCGCGGTTGACACGCGTTTAGCAAAATGGAGCTCGAGCGAGCTGGGGACAGCTCGCCATAGGAGGAGAGGGCATGTTAGGGAAGGAGCGCGCATGTAGTTCTGGCGTGTGTTCGAATTATGTTAGTAGTCAATAGGTAGGCGCAAGAAACACATATTTTCGGCGGGTATTGGGCCTACAAAAAGGCTTGATTTCTGTACTGTTTAGGTTGTCTTTTTTCTACTCTTCTACCGACGACCCCGCTGAGAAGCCCCGACGTCCCTCTGCTCTATCTCAGTTAAGTTCCGATTCTTCACCCGGTGGCACGACGACGACACGACGTTACACGGACGACACCACGACACCTCTGTTCGGATATCAACTTCACGACTTCGGAATTTCGCCTCGGCACCCAGGGTGGACACCAGCCTCCGGCCCTCCCCACCCCCCTTTGGGTTGTTTCATATTTCTTTATTGCTATTGATCTGCCTACTTATTGATCGGATTTTTCTTTGTGCTCACGCTTGTTTGATTTTATTATTAATAAATTTGTGTTAACCCTGGTGGTGAACTCTGCTCCTCCACGCGGTGCCACTGGGAGCTCGCCTTTGCGAGCTGCAAAACGCAGACATCCGATAGCAGGTGACAGGCCTTTGTGACGGGCCGACCTACGAACACCCCATGTCACATCACAATGTTTAGCAATGCCACATGTATGTCGAGATAATGCTACGGCGTCCGCGGGAGCTGACGCGCACTCGTATGGCCCGGCTAGTGTGGAAAGTATGCGAGGGTTCTCGTTGCAAGGACGGCATCGGGAGGCAACCAGGCTAGTCCAAAAGTCTCACAGTTTAGCGTGTAAGGTCCGCGTTGCAAACTTCAACGTTGGAACCTTGACCGGACGTCTATGTGAATTGGCAGAGGCACTAGAGCGCAGGCGAATCGATCTCTGTGCAGTGCAGGAAACAAGATGGTCCAGTTGGAGGTCGAGAGACATTGGTCGTGGCTTCAAAGCCATCCTTTGCGGCTAGCCAAGAACTACTAACGGAGTGGCCATAATCGTCTCTCAACAATTCCGTGACTCGATAGTTAGCGTGGAACCTTACGACGATCGCTTGATGAAAATAGTTCTTGCTGTCGAGCAACGACTGTACCACTTCTTTTCAGCATATGCTCCGCAGACGGGATGCACTGAACAATCAAAGGACGAGTTCTGGACTCTGCTCGAAGAGAAGACAGCTGAGGTACCGTCACAAGACGACATAATTGTCGCTGGTGACCTTAACGGTCACGGCGCAAAGAAAGACGGTTACAGTTGTCATGGTGGCTTCGGTTATGGAACACGTAACGTCGGCGAAGGCATCCTGGAATATGCAGAAGCCCATAATCTTGCCATCGTTAACACAAAGTTCCGTAAACGCGACTCGCACCTGATTACCTTCTACAGCGGGAGTGCTAGAACACAAACAGACTTTGTTCTTGTCAGGCATCGCGATCAAGGACTTGTCACAGACGCAAGGACTGTGCCGTATGAGACAGTAGCCTCGCAACATCGCCCGCTTGTCTGTAGATAATACCGCCCAGGTCGAAACATATAGAGCGATGTGGTCCCGAGAGAATCAAATGGTGGCATCTAAAGGAAAAGGAGGCAGCTGTGATCTCTCGCATTCGATTACCAACCGTCACAACTGTCGATGAAACATGGAAGAATGCCGCCAAAGCGATAGTTCAGGCCGCTCGCTCTGAACTTGGCACAACGAAACGAAGGCGTAGAATTGAAAAGCAGGCATGGTTGTGGACAGATGACGTCAGCAAGGTCCGCAAAAAGAAGAAGCGCTATCACTCTTTCCTTGAAGACAAGACAGCTGACAACTGGCGGAAATATCCGGAAGCGAGAAGTACAGCAAAGAAGATATTCGATGTAGTTTGTCTTCGAGCCTCGACAAGATTGAAATGCTTCATTAGGCCATCGTTTCGGCGTCTTCGCCTTCGTCAGAGCCTGAAATGGACAAAAAACACATGAGACCTGCCCGCTGAAACGTCTCAACAATTCAAGACAATTTCACTAAACTAGTAAAACGACCCAACGGTATCGATCGATAGTGTTGTGTCTCACCTTGTTCTAGACGCCGCAGTGCGGGCTCGACCACCCTGAGGTTGACTAGAATGCGGATTAACCATTACCAGTTACACCCTCCGACCTCAAAAATTACAGAGGTCGAGGAAAAGCGCGAGTTCGCGGGTCACAGCCACACACTCCTCCTCTCTATTCATTTTAGGGTCCTTGGCAGTGATCCAATGTCTTACGCGCCGTGATCTCGGGCTCCTGCGCTGAGATGACCACCTTTTTTTTGTCCATTTCAGGCTCTGACGAAGGCGAAGACGCCGAAACGTTGGCCTAATAAAGCATTTCAATCTTGTCGAGGCTCGAAGACAAACTACATCGAATATCATCATGCCAAGATTGCAAGAAAGTCGAACATGGACTATACAGCAAGAAGGCTGTGGCTGTGACAAAAGCTGCTCACTTCGAAGACATCAGCAAGAAGCTGGAAACGCGCGATGGTGAACGGCACATCTACCGAGTTGCCAAGGCTCGTCACCGCCAGACCGAAGATGTAGAGTTCTTTGACATCATGACGAGAAGGGCCGCCTTCTGATGGACCGAACAAAGGTGCTGAGGCGATGGCGCGACTACTTCGGAGAAGTTTCCACAGTGGAATACGAACACTCGGCCATCCCCGGCGCCTTACCAGAACTCTCGCATACTTTCCACACTCGCCGGGCCATACGAGTGCGCGTCGGCTCCCGCGGACGCCGTAGCATTATCTCGACATACATGTGGCATTGCTAAACATTGTAATGTGACATGGGGTGTTCGTAGGTCGGCCCGTCACAAAGCCTGTCACCTGCTATCGGATGTCTGCGTTTTGCAGCTCGCAAAGGCGAGCTCCCAGTGGCACCGCGTGGAGGAGCAGACTTCACCACCATCACACAGGAATCGATCAACTGAAATTTTTCAAATTTCGTGTTCCACGTTTCCGTATTTCTCCAGTTCATGGATAGACGGGGCCAATCGACTGTTATCCGGTTGCTTTTTTCCTCCCACTTGTCACATTCTGCTACTTCTTATTACTTTCCTTTGCACACATTTCCTTGTGCTCCTGTTTTCTAATTATGAAAGGAGAGAATTATTATGGTGGTGAAGTCTGCCGCTCTACGTGATGCCACTGGGTACTGCACAACTCTGCGAGGTAAGCCAAACGCAGACATCCGAATGCAGGTGAGGCCTTTGTGACGGGCGGACTTACGAACAGCCCATGTCACATAACAATGTTTAACTATGCCACATGAATCACGAGACAGTGCTACGGCGTCACGCGGAGGCACAAGAGCGCAGGCGAATTGAAGCAGGCATGGTTGTGGACAGATGACGTCAAGCTAAAGGGTTGCGAGAGGAAGAAGTCATCAGTCTATCACTGTTCCTCAAAGACAGGTCAGCTGACAACCGGCGGAAATATCAGAAAGTGAGAAGTACGGCAAAGAAGGCTGTGGCTGCTACAAAAGCCGCTCACTTTGAAGATATCAGCAAGAGGCTGGGAAAGCGCGATGGCGAACGGCACATCTACCCATTTGCCGAGGCTCGCTACCACTAGACCGAAGATGTAGAGAAGTTCTTTAGCATCATGACGAGAAGGGCCGCCTTCTGATGGACCGAACAAAGGTGCTGAGGCGATGGCGCGACTACTTCGGAGAAGTTTCCACAGTGGAATACGAACAGTCGGCCATCCCCGGCGCCTTACCAACATATAGTCACCTTCAGAAGATAAGCGTGAAGGAAACGGAGGCAGCCCCCAAGAAGATGAAGCCAGGCAAGGCAACGGGCCCTGACGATGTGGCGGTCGAAGTATGGAAGTCCTGCTGGCATGCTGCCGAATGGTTGACAATGTTTTTCAATCAGGTCGTTGCAGAGAAGAAAATGCCCGAAGTATGGCAAGATAGCACGATGGCACCGA